TTCTTTGCATCAGTCTTCACACAAAAAGAAATTATAGCCCAACATACAAAAAAAAAAACTATTGCAAAAGACAAAATAGAAACAAAAATTAAAATAAGCAAGAAAGTGGTAAGAGAATACCTATCCGACCCTAATGAATATAAATCACTAGGACCTGACAGATTACATCCCTGAGTTCTGGCTGATGGAGCTGGCAAATGTTATCTGAGAATCATTGTACCATATCTTTCAAAAATCCTGGAGCACCAGGGAAGTACCTGAGGAATGGAAAAGGGCTGATGTGGTTCCCATCTTCAAGAAAGGGGGAAAAAAACAGACCCAGGAAACTACAGACCAATCAGTCTAATATCAATTCCTGGGAAGATCCTGGAAAAGATCATCAGAAAACAGATCTGCAAATAACTAAAAGCAAACAAAGTTATAACCATGGTTTCTTAAAAACAGATCATGTCAAACCAATCTTATTTCATTCTTTGATAAAATGACTTAATTAGTAGACCAGTGAAACGCTGTGGTCTTAGTATACTTAGATTTCAGTAAGGCATTTGACAAAGTAGACCACAATCTACTGCTTGGTAAGCTAGAAAAAGGTGGGATAGACAACATCACCACCAGATGGATCTGTAGCTGGCTGATAAACCATACTCAGGGAGTAGTCCTCAATGGTACTTCATCCACATGGAGAGAAGTAAGCAGTGGGGTACCAGAAGGCTCCGTCTTAGGCCCAGTACTCTTTAATATCCTCATAAATCACTTAGAGGAAGGAGTAGAAGAGGAACTTATCAAATTTGCAGATGACACTAAACTGGCAGGAGTAGCCAATACCCCAGAAGACAAGCTCGGGATCCAAAAAGATCTTGACAAACATGAACAATGGGCCCTATTCAACAAAATGAATTTTAATGTGGAAAAAAGCAGAGTTTTACATTTAGGCAGGAAAAATCAAAGGTATGAGTACAGGTTAGGTGAGACATGACTCAAAAATAGTAACTGTGAGAGGGACCATGGAGTCCTAGTGGACGATCACTTGACTATGAGCCAGAAATGTGCAGCAGCAGCCAAAAAAAGCTAATACAATCCTGGGTTGTATAAACAGAGGCATAGAATCAATATCAAGCGAAGTATTAGTACCGCTTTATAAAACCCTAGTAAGACCACACCTGGAATACTGCAACCAGTTTTGGTCACCATACTAGAAAAAAAGATGTTGAGATTTTGGAAAAAAATCAGAAAAGAGCAACTAAAATAATCAAAAGCCTGGAGACTAAAACATATGAAGAATGGCTGGAGGACTTGGGTTTGGCTAGTCTAAAGAAAAGAAGAAACAGGAGTGACATGATAGCAGTATTCAAGTATTTGAGGGGCTGCCACAAAGAAGAGGGCATCAAACCAGTGCTTTTTTTCTAAAAAAAAAAAAAAAAAAATGGTGCCGGAACTCACACACATCATGCAACCCGCCTTGCCTACCCTACAAGGTTCCATCCAAAAAAGGTGATGGAACTCCATTCTGGGTGTTCTATGAGAAAAAAAGCCCTGCATCAAACTATTCTCTGAAGCACCAGAGGGTAGGACAAGAAACAATGGTTGGAAACTGACCAAAGAGAGAAACAACCTGGAATTAAGGAGAGACTTCCTAACAGTGAGGACAGTTAACCAGTGGAACAGTTTGCCTTCAGAAATCGTGGTTGCTCCATCACTGGAAGTTTTTAAGAAGAGACTAAGAAGAGTCACTTGTCTGAAACGGCACAGGTTCTCCTGTTTGAGCAGGGAGCTGGACTAGAAGGTCCCTTCCAGCTCTATTCTATTCTAAATTCTAAACTGTTTTTTTTTAAAGTACTAGCCTTTACACGAAGACAGTCTTTTCTAAACTGTGAGCAAAAATGTCAAAAGAATAGAATGGAAAAGAGGCAGAATTAAATATTGGCTATTCAGATTTACTTGAAAGTGAGGCTGCCTGACAATTATGGAAGGATGTATGTGTTGCTCATAAAAGATTGAGCAGAGGGTCCATAACAAAATGCACACACTGAAAAAGATACTGTCTTCCCTGATGTGTGGAGAGTCATTTGCATCAGTACTGTTAACAGGAAATGCTGCCTGTTGGTACAGGGATGAAGCTAGGCACTTCCTTGTTTCAGGAGAGCAGGAACAGATGTCATTCTCAGTCCATGTCTAGCCTTGAAAAGTTCTTTTCTTGCTCTTTATCAAAAATAATTTGCTGGAACAAGCAGGGCGGTCCAATATGCCTGCTGCATTTCATTATGTCATATGTAGTGCTTGCATTCTGGTTAGCTGGTGCATGCTCTGGGGTGCCCTTACTTATTTGTACTAGGCTGCTGGGTCATCTACCAGGAAAAGGCACATCTATTTTTAATGTTGTTTTTCAGATTCAGTTAATTGCTCAACTTCTTTGTTCCTATAACATTGAAATCTCTTTATACTCTTCTACAAACTGAAAAAAGTTTAATAACTTCCACATCTTCAGTGAGGTAGAATGAGGATGCATTAAGACATTAGTGAACTGAACTTGATAGTTTCAAATCCATAACAAACTTTTTTGAAACTATGAATTTAATCTAAGTACTTTATGCACACAAATGTCTATAGTAAAACTCTGAAAACTCTTCTGAGAAGTAATGACTTTAAAAAATAATTATTTGGATCAGAGACATAATCCTCCATCTGCAATTTGAAGAGGTTCTGTCAAACCCTAAACAATTTTATCAATCTTAATGTTTTATGTAATGATGATGATGATGGAAGGGATCTTGGAGGTCATCTAGTCCAACCCCCTGCTCAGGCAGGAAACCTTATACCATTTCAGACAAATGGCTGTCCAGTCTCTTCTTAAAAACTTCCAGTGTTGGAGCATTCACCACTTCTGGAGGCAGGTTATTCCACTGGTTAATTGTTCTAACTGTCAGGAAGTTTCTCCTTAGTTCGAGGTTGCTTCTGTTTTGGTCACCATACTACAAAAAATTGGTATCTGTTGATGAACAGCTTGCTGTGTTCCCTCTGGCAATTTCAGTTAGTATTCGTAGACTTTGGTGACATTTTAAATTTGATATGGCAACGGTGGGAGGGAATTTACAATTTTCTAAAATTTGTTAATACAGCTCATATGTCACTCCATTTCTAGAGTTTCTAAAAAAATTAAGGCGTTAATATGGTAAGTGAACAAGTTGAACAAAAGTTCAACTACAAACCCAACTAATACAATTATTTAACTAATCTGATACACCAATATGATATTACTCTCCCTAAATCTCTTTCTGAAAGGGTAAGTTACTACGGCTTCTTTGAAAATATGCTTTGTCAGCAGTTGCAAAGAACAGAGGGGGATCATTGTGGAGAAGACTCAACTTTAGATACCCCAAAGAGAGCAATCCAGTGATCCAAGTGTAAGGCCTCGTGATCCATAGAAGACAACAACTGATGCACAAGATATAATTGTGCATCAGTTATTCACATAAAGCAATAACTGTGGGGTCCTTGGGGGTCCTCGTTCAACTCCCAAAGCCCAAAAGGAAACAAAAAGCTCCCAAAATTACCTCCTCACCAGCAATCAACATCTAAATAAGCAGAGATTAACACCAAGATTAACATTAGACCAACAATCAAGAAGCAAACAATACCCCAATTAAGGAACTACTAAGATCGCTCTCACCAGTATACTAAATAACGGGAAGCCACCAGTACAGTATATAAAATAAGAGCAAACCCCACTACTAGCTAGCGATAGTGTTACCTACTTTGGTAATGAAACTTCTGCAAGAAAACAACCAAGCATCGAAAACACCAAGAACCCCACAGATGGGTGATTGACACAGATAATAGATGATAGAGAGATGATGATAGATGATAGATAGATCTATGAAATGTAAAGGGCAACTAATTTCCTAGAATTAAATATTAAATTCTATCCCCCATTATTATAGCATAAAAGCATTAACTTTTCTTTGCTGGCAAACTTTTCTATTTATGTTTATTCCTTAGGAAATACACCACTGTACTGAACTTCCTTCAGTTCTTATACACCATTGCCATCTATTGGCAAGACTTGGAGTACAAAAATCTAATAGCCTGTACTTAAATATGGGTTATCTCTTGCCTTTTGATAACATTTTGTTCATTTGACATCTTTATTTTCCTTTTAAAGTTGGAAGAATTATTATTCATATTAATTTGACCATCCATTTCAATTACTATATAGTTTTATATAAAGGCATATGAACATGATGTCCTCTTTCCATTTCCAACCATAACAAAAGAGGACAGAGGAACAGCAGCCTGAGATGTCTCTTTCAATTGCCAGTTTTTAGTCATCCAAAACATAAATCTGTCTGAGTCCTCTGAAGACAGATTCACTCATCAGGAATGGACTTGAGGCCAGCGTGATCCCAAAGTGGGCAGAGGCCTGCAGACTTTTCTCTCAAGTTGAACTTGGAGTCCACTCCTAAGAGATTATTGGGTCTTAAAATTGAACCAACCCTCCCAGTGTGTTGCTGTAGAACTTGTTAGCGTGCCCTTCCTAGGCCCTTAAAGCAGCCTGGATCTATTGAGACCCGCTTCACTTCTGCAGCTGGATGAGAATCAGAGAAAGTAGCAGTGTAGTAGTAATTCTATGGGAGGTCCAGTTTGTAACACACGGTTCCGTTATATTTAGTTTTGACCAACAGCAACATAAACTCACCTTTTTGTAAAGAGTAAGCTGAGATCTCAGGTATTGTTCCCAGCAGCAGAATCATTTTCATTACACACAGACACAATTCATTTCACACAAGGGAAGGAACTGACTGAATCCAAACAGGAGTAGCTTGTGAGGCCATCACCTTCATTGTATGCGCATGGTTTCCTGAAGAAAGGAAGGTTTCCAAGTTCAGTTTCAGGCATCTCTCAGAACTCCATGGAACTAATTACAAAACTGATTGTTAAAATTGTATTGCTAAAGTAGTGTGAATTATTAGTGAAAACAGTGATGTAGCAAATGAAACATATAATTAACAGGAAAATAATTTGATTTTTATTTTTTCACATTATCAAGTACACATTACGTCACACATCCCTATATATGAGTCTATGTAATTTGTTTTTTCATTTTTACATAGTGTACAAGAGGGAGGGACATCAAGTACTTAACAAGCATTTTACAGAACAATTATTTGTATTATGTCCTTTTAATGTACCGTTTTAAGACATGAAATTTCAACATCAATTTTATAGCGTTTGCTAATCAAATAAAACTAGTTTATAACTAATGTCAGTACATTAACAATAACTAGTTTTCATTTGCGTTTTATACAGCCACATTGTACAAAATCCACTCAACTGATAAATTCTTAATTGCTTTTTCTACATTGTCAAAAATGTTTCAATGTATATATATTTATGATTCCAGGTGGTATTAGTGAAATAGGAAGTAACCAAGTTTCTTATGTCTGAAATTTGTTAAAAAAAATTCCAGTATGGTAATACTTCTGGTAATACCTCTGAATATGACAAAAGTTAATAGATCTTAATAGCTTGAAAATTATTTGTGTGCAAAGGAATCTATGTAGGACTTCAATAAAAAAAAATGAGACACCTACATTCCATGGATAACTGCTGGATTTTGAAAACACTTGCTTTAATAAACTGAAGTGCTTTTAGACCTCAACCCTGCAATAGTTATCACCACAATGCAAAAGCTTTAAAGGGTTCCATACAATTTCACACATTCCACTTAATTTATGACAGTATAATGTGCACAGTGGAGCTGTGTGATTTAGAGCTTAAGAGCGTGCTCAACAATAATAAGATTTTTACCAATATTTTTTAAGAATTTGGTGAACATGCAACAGTTCATACACATTAAAAGGTCAGAAACAAACATACTTCCACATACATCTTACAATTCATACAAAATAAGATGTTAACATTAAGCTTTTGTTTGCATCACAGCTATTTGCATTATAACTCTAATTTTATATTAAAATAAATCACCCAGGGAATATCGAGCTATGTGAAGGAGTGTACGTACACACATTGTAATCTGTGACAATGTAATATATGGTATAAAACTGATGACTTGGAATCCTTAAGTTTCTGATGAAAGGAAAGGAGGGATGAGAGATGGGAAAGCATGATGCAGAACTGCTTATTTTAAACTTTTGTTCACTTTCAATACATTTTTGATCAGTGAATTCAAGGAACCAAAGTTAGGGTGGACAGATGACAAAAAGCAATCTAACAGAACATAGTCAGAATATCACATTTTTAAAAACTAGCTTTTATTTCACTTGAAATGTGAAATGTTTTATTCATCAAGTTTCCAGCATGCTTTTGAACATTATAAACTAATGAAACATTTGCCATGAAACAGACTGAAGCAGCTTTATCTTAGCAATAATTTTAAAGCATAGGTGGTCATTCAACATATATCCATAAATGTATAAATGGACAGAAATAATTGGATAATTAAAATGTTACTGCTTAATAGCTATAGGCGTGAAGGTCTAATTCCTTCTTACTGAAATTATTTTGGTAAGGAAAATTCTGTGTCCCTAAAAGAATAAAAATTTTAAAACTGGAAGAAAATGTTTCTTTAAAATGACCTGCTTCTATTATTTATTCCTCCACCTGTTCTCTTTCCAAATGATTTATTTTTGAAAGCTGTCCAAAGATCCAGGTAGATAAAAATGAGACCAAACCAAAAATTCCATACAGTTAGGAGTCTTGTAATAAAACTGCATTTAATTTGGAGTAAACTTAGCAACAGTCAATTGAGTATCTGTTGTTAACAACTGAAACAATATGTTTCAAAAATACAATTACATTTGCAATACAGAACAAAAAGGCAGAGAAGCAGATAATGAATACTTAATGAACAAGTGCCTCAAGTTTTTCTTTAAAATTCACACCTATTGAAAATAAATGCTCCCAGCAACCAATGTATTTCTTACTTATTATGGAAGTATTCAATACTATAAAGAAATAACCTCAGTATTGAAAACAGTTAAATAACCACTTCAATGAATAGCTTGTCATAAGTTCCTTAAATATCAATGGGACAACCAAGTGGATCCTATTGTACAATGCAATATTTTGACATTAATTCTGCTCTGATTTTTGAACAGCCCTCTCTATATGTCATCTTTGAGCAATTAGAAATTTAATTGAATTGGCATGGCAGGCAAACATTTTGGAGAATTAATGTAATTGAGAAATTTAGTATCAGACAAAGTTTACTTTATTAAATGCAACTTTATTGTTGCTAACTTTCCTCATTTATTAAACAAACGGAAGATAAGTCAGAACACACTAATGAACAAAATGTATAAAAGTCAACTAGAAGCAATATTCCTATGTATACAGCACTAAATCAAATGCACAGTATTTCATTTGTAAGATCTGCTTTAAAATACAATGACTGCCTAAAAAGCAAATCTTTTACACCCTTCCCAAATCCCTATCTATGAATTCTCACGGTAACCCAATGTCTTTATGATGTCGCAGAATGTGTTGATTCTTCTCTGAAGGCCTCCGAAAGCCTTTTTTACAGAATTCACAACGGTGAGGATAGTCTTTTGTATGAATGGAAATAACATGCCGCTTGAAACCTGAGGCATCTGTAGTGCTATATTCACAGTACTCACACTGATACACTTTTCTACCACTGTGTGTTTTCATGTGTTTTTTGAGTTCCATTTGCAGCTTGAACCCTTTCTTACACCTCTTGCACCTGAACGGAAGATCTTTTGTGTGAACTGAGAGAATATGACGACTCAAAACAAATGGATCTGCAATCTTAAAGTCACAATGTCTGCACTGGTGCAGCTTTTTCCCTTTGTGCACTGCAACATGTTTTTTCAGTTCTGAAGGCCTATGAAAGCCTTTATCACACATGTCACACTTGTGGGGGTAGTCCTTTGTGTGAACAGAAATTATATGCCTTTTTAAATCACTTGAGTTTGAGCTTTTGTGATCACAGTGCAGACATTGGTGTGTTTTGCTTTCTTGATGCATAAGAATGTGCTGTTGCAGCTCTTTGGTATCAGAAAATATTTGAAAACAAATGTCACACTTGAATGGCATTTCTTTACTATGCCTAGTCTTTACATGAGTTTTCAGGTTGGAAGAGTCAGCAGACCTATACTCACAATATTGGCATTGATAGGGCTTTTCACCAGTATGGATTCGCATATGTTTCTTGAGCTCTGATGGATGCCGAAATCCTTTTCCACATTCCACACAAATATGAGGAAAGTTTTTGCTGTGTACAGCTAGAAGGTGACGATTCAGTAATCCCTGTTCTGCTGTTTCATACTCACAGAATTTGCACTTGTGCATTTTGTTTGCTGCTTTGTCCCTGTGCACCATCTTGTGTGTAAACAAAGCTCCTGCGTGAGAAAAACTTTTCCCACATTCATCACATTCAATTAGTTTCTCAGTCTTGGTAGTAAGCTTGTGGCTCTCGAGATGATTATGCAGACTTAACTTTTTATTTGTAGTGTAATCGCAATCAGTGCATCGATATTTTTTCTTAGCAAGAAGGTGCTCTGGGTGATTTTTCATGTGTCTTTTCAAGAAGCCTCTGGATTTAAATTTCTTTCCACAAATCATACAAGGGTAGACGGTCAAAGGATGGCCATCAGGCCCAATAATTATGGCTGTATAATAAAAGAAAAAAATAAAATAAAAATGGCATCTACTAAATACCTGACAAGCATGAGCATAATTGCACAGAAATTATACATTTTAAGTTCCTATTAGCTTTAGTAGCAAAATTAAACACATGCTTGAATTTCACATTGAAATACATAGGATACCAACATCCTGAACACTGCTGGAATTGCAAATTAAATTCAGATCAATTAATTGTCAAGAAGTAATTACAATAGTATGTCAGCTTTCTCCCTGCAAAATTAAAAATCTTCCAACAGAAATATGAAAGACTTACAGAATTTCAATAATTGGAAGCAACGTCAAGTGCCAACATATCACTTAATTAGACAAATTAACCCTGTGAAAAGAAATATCTTGACATGTCAGCAATTGCAACATCTGCATTCTCAAAGGAATCTTGTGAGAATAGACATATTTTCAAGAAATGACTCGTATCTGGCATGTTTGAAGATAATATTCTCCAAAAGAACACATATACAGGTATACACATATGTGCCTATGTGTATCGATGCAAAACATCCATCAAGACAGAAGTTCAAGATATGTTACATTTAAATAAGAAATCAGTCTACTAGACATTCATAGAATGTAATGTTAACTATAGTTTGAAATTATGTTTTTGAATAGAGATTTTTAGAAAGGTATTTTATAACATGTTATATACACGATAGAAAAATTAATACAAATGCATACATAGCATATCCTTTGATGAAACATTTCAATTACTGTAACTATGCTAGCAAAAGACCGAATTTTAATAGCAATCTTGCTCTTCCATGAACTGAACCCTGCCTCAAATGCATTTCACAACTGCTAGAGATGCTAGGAAGAGTGTGCTCATGGCTTCTATACTAACCACACCTATAACAAGCCTGTGCTGGCAACATGCACACATCAATATATACATAATCTCATTGTATTCATTACTACAGTTTCCCCCCCCCCCTTAATATCCATGTCCATATACTTTTGTGGAAGGGACCAAAGGATGACTGTGACAACACCATAATATGCTATAAATTACACACTGCATCCGATGTTAGAATGCAAGTACCTGGTGGCAGCATTTGTAAAATGATGTCACCACAGTTTGCTATGGTTTTGCCCTGTCCATAAATAATATAAAAGTTACTGCTAAATGTTCATGACCATAACATGGGAAAATACCTGACTATCCTGACTGTTTGCTTATTTATTATTTATTAAATTTATCTGAGATGCAATTACTTCTAAATATCTTTCCTAACTACAAAAGACATAGAATTTATTTAAAATAATTGTGTATCCCAACAGAGTTTGGAAGATTTGGTAAACTGCCTGTTTCCTGTCATTGCTCTCCATATTTATATAGGTAGTCCTTGACTTATGATCACAATTGAGCCCAACATTTCTGTTGCTAAGTGAGACATTTGTTACGTGAGTTTTGCCCCATTTTACGACCTTTCTTGCCACAGTTGTTAAATGAATCTCTGCAGTTGCTAAATTAATAACATGGTTGTTAAGTGAATCTGGCTTTCCCTTTGACTTTGCTTGTCAGAAGATGGCGAAAGGTGATCACATGACTCCAGGACACTGCAATTGTCATAAATATGAATCAGTTGCCAAGCATCTGAATTGTGATCCCATTGGGGATGTTGCAAAAGTTTTAAGTGTGAAAAATGATCTTAAGTCACTTTTTTCTTTGAATGGTCACTAAATGAACTGTTGTAAGTTGAGGACTACTTGTACTTTTTAGTCTTTCTTGCCCCACCATTGGATGTATCTTACTTGAAACATCACATGTAACCTAGCACATAAACTATTATTTTCTGAAAATGTAAGATCGTGACTATATCGGGAACCAGTTTGATGTAGTGATCAAGATGCTGGATTAGAAACCCGAAGACCACGAGTTCTAGTCCCACCTTAGGCATGAAAGCCATCTGGATTACTTTGGGCAAGTCAAACTCTTTCAGTACAGCCCACCTGACAGGGTTGTTGTGGGGAAAAGAGGAAGAGGAAAGAATATAAAGTATGTCTACTGCCTTCTTTACTATAAGGCAATAAAGGTGGGATACAAATCTAGTTAATAAATAATATGTAATCAATAGAGGATATTGAGAAGCAATTACCTAGGTGTATTTGTATGTCTGTATAAAAATATGGTTTTGTTATATGTTTTCTTTAATCTTGGGTCCTCTATCACAGGTCTGGAAAGTTGAGGGTTTTACATAGTATCTTAGCTGTTCCTAGCACTGCACTCTTCTGGATCCAGAGCTCTAATGTTCCTGGAGTCTGTTGGAGCCATTTTTCTAGCTTAGGTGTCACAGCTCTCCTACCACCACTGGGACAACTTTGGCCTTTACTTTCCACATACTCTCTAGATCAGCGGTTCTCAATGTTTGTGTGACGGCGACCCCCGTCACACAAACGTTATGCGCATGCGCGGCACCGCCCCCCCGGAGGCGCGGTGCCGCCCCCCGGAGGGGAGAAAATGGCGGATCGCCGCCTTTGGCGACCCCCGAAAAATGGTCGATCGACCCCAAATGGGGTCGCGACCCTTAGGTTGAGAACCGCTGCTCTAGATCGTTCATGAGGCCCAGGTATTTCTCTAGCTTCTCATATCTCATCCTGATGTTGTGTCACTTGACACCACTACATCCTGTCACAACTGATGTTTTCTGGACCTTGTCTATTACTAAAATACCTGAATGATTGGCCAGTGCCTGCCAACAAGCATGGATTTGCAAGTTCCACAGGATATTAGCCCTCTTATTCTCCACAACCTTCTGTGGAATCTCCCATATGGACTTGGGAGGGATCTAGTCCATACACTGTTCCTATATACAATGCCAGCTACTTGGTTGAGTTGTTCAGTGTATGTTCTTGCCAGCATCTTATACCTTGTTACTACATATTGGACTGTCCCTGCGGCCTCTCTGCAATCTGCAATTCAGATTGTGTCTAGTGATAAACCTCTTGCTTCTATGGATCTGGTATTTAATGGCTGGCCTTGTGCTGCTATGACCAATGCCTCAGTGCTGTCTTTTAGTCCAACTCTTTCTTGTCTTAACACTAATAGGATTTCTCAATGTCAGCCTTCTCAGCTACCATACATCCCATGCAGGGTCTTCTCTTGCCATATTCACACTTTTAATCATACTTGCCCCACCATAAAATCTATTTATCACTTTAAATATCACTTGTAACCTACCATGTATGCTATTACTTCCTGAAAACATAAGATTGTGACCATATGTAGCCCTGTAACCAGATTAACAATGGACATTGGGAAGCAATTATGTAGTGTATTTGTGTTTGTGTGCACGTGTATGTACAACAATATATGGTATTTCTTCCATTCAATGGTGTCTAATTTTCAGAGTCTTCTTGACAAGGTTTTTCAGGGTTTGCTATTGCTTCCTTCCTATGGCTGAGGAAAAGTGACTAGCCAAAGGTCACCCAGCCAGCTTTGTGCCTAAGACAGGATTAAAACTCCTTATTTCTAACCTGATGCTCTAATCAGTACACCAAACTGTCTCTCATTATATATATGTGTGTATTTGGGGGGGGGGGCAAGAGTAATGGCCAAAATGGTCCCAGTAAGAGCACTTAGAGCTGTGAATTCTAAGCTGGAAAAATGGCTCCAGCAGATCCCAGGAATGACATCAGAGCTCTCTGTCCAAAGGAGTGCAGTAGAATTGCAGACCTTCCCATTTTCTGTCCCACCAAAACCCACTTGTATAGTGTACCAATGTGACTTTGCAGTATGCCTCGGATGATTTCCTTTAATTCCTGCCTTCCTTCAATAAGTTCTTGAATGCTATGCCAGTGCAGCTTCATTTTCTTTCCATGTTGTATGTTAGGACATAACTTGCACATTTCTGTTGACAAGTCTACTTGTGTCAACCTCTTTTCAAAGCGTGTATCATATCCTGAGATTTGTAAGCAATGCATTAGTTGGCATAACTCACTTGATGTTTTTTTGTATGTACCTACAACTTATAAGATTTTGAACCAAATCTTTCCCTAAGCAAAAGATTTAAAAAAAACAGGGATTTTTTTTAATTGTTAGAACAATGTATTCTGTGTTCAAAATTTTATGTCACATTATTTGGATGTATCCAGAGAACATGTGTCAAAAATTCAAAATATTCAAAAATGATCCCTTATGTCTATTATTCAGCATCCTTTATTAGCCAATCCCCGGGCTTATTTCTCTTCCATTTTTCTCATTTTAAAGCATTCAATAATAATTTTCATCCTGAAAAAAATCAGTTATTTGAAAAAAAATAAAATGTGTGTGATGATATTACAACCCCAATATAGCAGCAATATTACACTAAACTCCCACCAGGAATGTGAATAGATGGCTATGCTTTTAAAAATGCTAATAGAGAATGCATTTCCATTTCAATTCTATTTTCAAGCAAACAAAAGCTGAGTTATTACCTGTTTGATATTGTCTGGATTCCAGTCTTCTCCTTTTCTTTGGTTTTTGTTTTGCTAGCCTCCCAAGACTAGAAGACTCATCTATGTGCAAGAGGGCACTTGCAGTTCCATTTCGGTTTTCAACTGCATCATTATTTCCTAGTATGGAACAGAATTTAGCATTCTAAGGGTTAGTCCACATACTATCTCTGAATATGATTTTTATATTTTAAAAGGTAAGTCTGTATAATCAGCTCTCTGTTAATAAATATATTTGGGTTTCTTTGTAGTCAATAAAGACAATAAGCAACATTCAGATTTTAAAAAAACCAACACCTTCTTCTCTTCAGTGAATTATTCATGTGTAGCTTTTGCCAATATATATCTGTATCTTGTTCACTGTTCTCACTTGACTATGCAAAGAGCCTCAAGTATTATACATACATATTCACAGCATGAATTTAATCACGTCATGATAAATATACAGGTAGAAAGAATACTATAAAGGATAGATGCTCTTGGCAAACAGACACCATAGAATCCAGCTACAAGAATCTGTTTTTCCAAGGCCACTGGAAGATGTACATAAATATTGTAGCCATATGGCTGATTATTGTATTGTTTCTACTTCAATGTTAATATGTAGGGAGTAAGTCAACTAGCAACCCTCCACCCTTATGGATGAGAGCATAAAGGTATGTCCCACATTGATGGATGCATGTAAAAGAAATGGACCCAGGCTGGAAGTTCTGACAAAAAGAAAATAAGTATAATTAACATGACAAAAATCTAAATTTTATAGGAGGTCGGTAAACTTCGTTGTTACTTATATGATTCAAAATATTGAGTAAACTTAACAAATGCCAAATCTCAAGATTTGAAAAAACTCTCCAAGGTTGAATTAATTATCTAATTTTGCACAACTATCTAATAGAAAAAGACTTAAAAGAGATGCTAAATTCAGTGCTTTTTTTGTAAAAAAAAAAAAAAAAAAAGGGTGCCGGAACTCACACACGTCATTCATGCCTTGCCTACCCTACAAAGTTCCATCCAAAAAAGGTGCCGGAACTCCGTTCTGAGCGTTCTATGAGAAAAAAAGCCCTGGCTAAATTGTTCTTTTTTATTTTTACTACTATTCTAATTATAATAGAAATAGAGCTGGTTGCTTATTACAGTTTTCTTCTTAATTCCTCTACAATTTCAAATAAATCATACTTCCTTTCAATCAAGAATCAAATAATATATATGTATTCTTATATGTAAATCCTGGCAGAAATACTGGACACCACTCCAGAAAGATTACTTTAATTTTCTGAATAAGAAGACCAGAAACCAATATTCTTACTAGGTAATCTTTAATTTTTGACCTACCATAAGCTGCTGCCCAAGCTATTGGCATAAAGCTTTTGATTTCACTGTCATCAATTTGCTGTTCATGAGTCGCTGCTGCATCTTCCTCTCCTACTATCACTTCCATATAGACTTCATCAGCAATTTCAGCAACATCTAATAGAAGAAACAACATGTAATGTGTGTTTTGTATAATTTTTAAAACCTTTACCCCAAAAGAAGGTCACATACTTACTTAAATCTTCATCTTCATGCTGAGAATCATTTACTGTCATATAGACCATTTTTTCTCTTGGAATGCGAACACTGCTATTTTGATTAATTAAAGATTCACCATGGTCATTTTCTGATTCACTTTCCACAATGTCTACTGTGCCTCCTATGTTAAAAAGAATTAGCAACATTATTTGTAAGAATATGCTTCTATTACACTATGGTTCAACTTCAAGAAACTGGAAAAAATACAGTAACACAAATTTTTAAAAAGTGTGAGAGAAGCTTCTGTCAACTAGACGTTGGACATTTGGAAAGAACTGAGTAAAACAAGAGGGATATTATGAAAATCTTACTGAAATGTAAGCTTCATTATATTTAGTAAATTTATAGGATTACAGACTAAGTGCATAGTCTTTATTTTTACAAAGTGAGATAACTGACTGAAGTTTAATGGTTATTAATAGATTTTTATCCCACCTTTAAATAAATCTATCTATCTATCTATCTATCTATCTATCTATCTATCTATCTATCTATCTATCTATCTATCTATCTATCTATCTATCTCATGGGGGCAAGCATACATAATATGCCTGCCTTTTCTTTTCCCCACAACAACCCTGTGGGATCAGTTGGGTGGAGAGATTAACTGGTCCAAAGTCACTCAGTCTGCTTTCATGCATAAAAGAAGCCTAGGCCAAACCTTAACCACTACTGTACACCAAACTGGCTCTATATATGGTACACTACATCCATAATAGTAATAAAAAGTGCAGTTGTTAGGGATGCCATTCATAGAGTGTTTCAGGGTTCTTTTCGCTTTTAGTACAACAAATTCTCAGAACATTTCTTAAAGATTCAGTTTTCATCTTGAGATCTCCAAGCACCAAAATATTTTTTTCTTTTTTTAAAGAAATCTTCACCTATGTCATCTTCTCCAGGATCAGCTTTGAAAATGTAGACTTTGATGACTTCTGGGCAAATGCCATCCATTTTACATGGATCACTTTCTGACTCAGATTTAAGGTCAACAGAATTGTCAGCCTCGGTTTTGACAGCATCATCCACTACAAGAAAATCAACAATACTATCAGGATAACATACTTCTGACAGATTTACAAGCATTTCTTATATGTTTATATATTAAATATATAATTTCATTTTTGCAATTGCTTTTATCCACACAGAAATAATTATATTACAATATATCTATTTTTTCTCATTCACAGCCTTTTGCCTCACAATTCCACAATCCTTTCGTGTACTTCTCATTAGTATAACTCTTCACTTAATTTTTTCCATTTTCCCAAGACATTTCCACATTTCCTGATGTCCGCTTTCCAGTCGTTCTATTGTGAAATAAATTCATTTTCTAATGTTTACAAGCAGTCTTTGTACTTTATTTTCTTGCAGTCATTCTATTTTCCCGTTCTTTTTCTTCCCAAGATTTACTACTCATGCTACTAGTGCTCATTCTATTCATGCTCATACTCATGCTACACATGCTAATAGTCTGCTCCTCATTCAAAACTTATTATTTTGTATTCTTCACTAAGCCTCTCAGTGTTTCACTGTGAACTATAAAACCAATCAATCCTTTGAATAGGTATGCATGAATGGTCATGCTTATCTTGTTTCTACCATCTATTCATGTCACCTAATAATTCCCCCCCCCAATTGCATTAATTTTAAATGTTAGTTATCCCATTATCACAATTCACTGCAGCACAACATGCAATTATCACTAATCTATGAAATGCTACTTTATATACCTCGATCTAGATGAAATTCATTCATAGCTAGTCTAAAGAAAAGAAGAAATAGGGGAGACATGATAACAGTGTTCCAGTATCCGAGGGGCTGCCACAAGGCAGAGGGGGCCAGGTTGTTCACCAAAGCACCAGAGTGAAGGACAAGAAACAATGGTTGGAAACTGATCAAAGAGAGAAGCAACCTGGGATTAAGGAAAAACTTCCTGACAGTGAGGACAATCAACCAGTGGAACAGCTTGCCTCCAGAAATCCTGGGCGCTCCATCACTGGAGATTTTTAAGAAGAGACTGGACATTCATCTGTCTGAGATAGTATAGGTTCTCCTTCTTGAGCAGGGGGCTGGACTAGAAGACCTCCAAGGTCCCTTCCAGCTCCTATCCTATCCTATCCTATCCTATCCTATCCTATCCTGAAATATATTAATCTTTTGTTCAAATTTATCAAAGCATTCATCATCCTACAAAATCGATTTCCTTTATTCAGTCCTTCTATATCATTCCTGTTTTTCTTAGTTTCACAGCATTTCCACAAGAAAGTAAAACATATTTTTAGGAAATAAAGATTATAACACACTCATGCATAATAAGAATCTAGCAGCCTACATTTTATTACAAAAAAAGGCAAATCAATCATTAAGAGGATATAGAGAAGTCCGCACATCATCTACTGTTGGTCTGCTGCTATCACATTATGAAAGATTATTCCTAGATTTCCAGTGTATAATACGGCCTTGATAATGATGCGGGGATACTTCTTTTGTTTAAGACTGTATTTTTCAACAACTTTAGATAATATTGCAGTTCTGCATCTGGCAAACAATAGTACTACTAAGAAAAAGGCAACAAACCATATTATCACTATCCTGCAAAAGACACTGAATTCAGCAAAAAACTGTAATCTCATGGAACAGTAAATCAAGAGCTTAGAAATAGACTGCAACATGTTGCCTGTTAATCAGTGATACTAATAACTTTCTTTGTAAGATCTGTGTTTATTTGCCTAGAAATACTGGACACAATTAGAGTGTGCACATTTATATAAAGTAATTAGGAAATAGTTTTTTTCTTGTTTCAGGTATAGGTAGTCCTCGACTTACAACCATTCATTTAGTGGCCAAAGTTACAACAACACTGGAAAAGTGACATAACCATTTTTCACAATTACAACCATTGCAACATCACCATGGGCATGTGATCAAAATTCAGACACTTGGCAACTGGCATGTATTTATGGGGTCATGTGATCATCTTTTGCAACCTTCTGAAAAGCAAAATCATTGGAGAAGCCAGAGCCACTTAGCAACCATGTTACAACTGTGAAACAACTGCAGTGACTCAATAACTGTGGCAAGAAAGGTCATAAAATGAGGCAAAATTCACTTAACAACTGTCTTGCTTAGCAACAGAAATTTTGAACTCAATTGTGGTTGTAATTTGAGGACTACCTGCATATTTGATCCTCCCACTTCATTCTTTTTCTTTTGCTAACATGTTCACTACGCATCTACTCTTCATCACTGTATGCTTCCTCTATTCTCTTCTGATTAAAAAAAACACCAAAAATCAATATTTCTTCAATCCTTTAACTGTTGCCAGTTAACTCTCCATCCTGTATTTCTGCAGGCAACCATTTAAACAGATACATTTATTTAATATATCTCTATAAATTCTTAAACTGCATCTTAAATCTAAAATTATTAAAATACAACAATAGATTAAAATAATATATAACCTTTATTCATTAAAAAATGGAAGAATGGAAAATAAAACTAACAAAATGTACATATAAGGATGATTCATAGAAAGCTCTGGATTTCCCGGGTACCTTGCAAATTTGGGAAGAAGAGCATTCCAGATCCTATGAATAAGTGGAAAGTAGTAGTCTATCAGTCTCAAAAACGTACAGTAAGAACTCTATGATTTTAATAATAATAGGTGTCAAGTGATGGATTTTGCACATTATTTCAAGGCTTGCAGCCCAATGATCAAAGAATTATAGGTGATTGATGCAGCAACAAATGGATATTTTAATAGTAAAAAAGGTAAAGGTTTCCCCTATCCAGTTGTGTCTGACTCTAAGAGGCAGAGCTCATCTCCATTTCCTAGCCAAAGGAGCCAGTGTTGTCCAAAGATGGTACCATGCTCATGTGACTGGCATGACTATGTGCTGAGGTGCACGGAATACTGTTATCTTCCCACTAAAGTGATACTAATATAGATATCCCAGTCCCAATGAAATGGGAATGTTCATTGCAAAGTCTTTTTTTTTTAAATAATGTTAGAGCCATAGGCATGGATACTGATGCTAATTTTATTATTTTAACTTTAAATTAATTATTTTTAAGAACAAAATTGTTTTTGTTACCAAATAAATTATTTTTATATCAGACCACCAGAAGCTAATTCAATTATTATGTAGAATAGTGATAGAGTTAAAATGTGTTTGTTACATTCCCGATACATGAAATGTCAGGATCTAAAACTGCCTACATATTGTATTGATTAGATTACATTAGCAATGCAAAAATCCAAGAACAAAATCAATAAGAGTAGCAAAGATGAAAAATTCTGTGGTTTAAACTATAGTCCTTAAAATAGTTTACCCAGACACTTACAGGAAATCATCAGATAGTCTTCACAGTTGTTTTTTTCATCATTATGCTCCACAGATATTCCACTGGCATCAATTACAGCTTCAGAAGCACAGTCTGCCACTAAGACTTCCGAAACTACATCTTCTCCAAGAGAATCTGTGACAATTTCTGCTTCTACAACATTATTATGGTCATGAACATGTTCCATGTGTTCAATATCAGGTACATGTATTGATTCATTTGTGAGTACATGTTCAGGTATTGCCATGGCTGAAGCTGTAATTTCAGATGATAAAACATCTTCTGGAACACTGCAGTGTGACAAAGACACTTCTTCAGTGACATCAGTGTCCAGCACTGGTTCAGGAATAATGACAGTTTGAGACACATCTGTATCTTCCATGATATCTGGACACTGAACATCTTCTATAACAACGTCCTCAATGACATCTTGAATTACTACAGAATCTGGATCATCAGGGACAAAATTATGTACAGCTATATCGGAATCTTCTACATCTGATACATATACAGTTTCCTGTATTTCGACAACGATTTCATCTCCGTTCAAATGTGTTTCATCAGCTCCTGAAATATATAAATTATAATCAGTCCTATATAATCATAAATCTTACTTGAGGGAAAATCAGCAAATTTTGATTATGATAGCAGGGATATCTCTTAACTTATTTGGCATATTAGAAACAAATTTAATCTGAAGGGCTTTACTCTCTTGATCCATTTATCAGGTGCAAATCATGGAAGTCATGTATACAGGTAGTCCTCAACTTATGACCATAATGAGCCAAAACCTCTATTGCTAAGAGAGACAGTTATGTTAGTTTTGCCCCATTTTACGATCATTTTGCCACACTTGTTAAGTGAATCACTGCAGCTGTTAAGTTAGTAATATGGTTATAAAGTGAATCTGGCTTCCCCAATGACTTTGTCAGAAAGTCGCAAAAGATGACCCCGGGACACTGCAACCGTCATAAATATGAGACAATTGCCAGGCATTTGAATTTTGATCATGTGACCATGAGGATGCTGCAACAGTTGTTAAGTATGAAAAACGGTAATAAATCAATTTTTTCAATGCTGTTGTAATTTCGAATGGTCACTAAACGAAAAGTTATAAGTTGAGAACTACCTGTATTTTATAGAATTTTCTTCCTACTTGTTAGCAACCAGTGATATTCTCTCAAAATAATTTAGTGTGATAGAAGGTAAAAAGTTATTTTAAAAGCTAATAATTGATAACCTATTTTTCAATCAGTTTCACAGACATTTCATAAGCTGCCTTCTCACATTGCTAGTTATCTTGCCTTTATTATGGTACATAACAATATGTAAATATTTGAAACATATATAATATTCCTTGTATATTTAGCCTCAAAATAGATTAACTATTCTAAAATAGTTCTAAATTAGATTATTAACTATTAAATAAATTAAATCCAGACTTGGCTAATAAAGTAATCTGGATTCATGACTAAAGACCCAATAGTTATAGAGTTTAGGAAAAGAAACTTACATATTATTTTCTTACATACCTGTTGGATCAAAAAACGCATGTGGATCATGTGGCTGTAGTTCAAGCCCATCCTCATCCATGGCCTTTAAATCTCATCAGTCACAATGTCTATAAAAGTAAAACAAATATGTTTTGCATAGACTTATAAGGGTCCCAGACTAGCACATGGTACATATATTGCAATCAGGGCTGCACTGGGAAAAAGAATGAGATTTGAACTTTTTGCCCCATTCCTGAGAAGCACAAAAAGAATGGCTAATATGTTGATGTCCCTTCATTGCCTCCTTTAAGCAATGGGAGAATTCACTTGTACTAGAGCAAAATATCAATACCTTCTTTGTAACACCTCATGCTTTTCTCCCCATACATGAACATTGTGGCATTTTCTGTTAGACTATAATCTTTTGGTATAATCTGTATCAAATAGTGCAAGTACTAACTGTATTTTATTAATCTCATCCATTTTAATATCTAAAGCTTCTGGATAATTAAAACTTTTTATTTTCTTGACTTTGTTGAATCCTGAATACAGTATGCTAAAATGTATTACTGTAGTGTCTGGCATACATTCCTGCTTCCATTCATTTCACAATGATAAAAAAAGTTTTCCTGCTCGTGTCTTTTGAATCTGTTGTATAAGTATTCCCATAAATACATTCTACATCTTTGCTGTAGAAATCTAGACTAATACTTTATTTTTCTAGACAAGTTAGTATTCTTCGCATCAACCCTTATTACTCACAAGCTATTGTCTATCCTATTTATTTTTGAGATGCTTGTTACTGACTGCAGTGTGTTGTTTCAAAACAATAAAATGGTCACTTTTGAGGGTTTTATCTCTAATAATCCAATTTATCTACTTCACATATCAACCCACAGGAAAAAAAATCTCTAAGCTGCTTTTCAACTCCCTATACTTCAAATAATAAATTGTTAGCCATCCTAGTATTTACAGTGAGGGAAAAAATTATTTGATCCCCTGCTGATTTTGTATGTTTGCCCACTGACAAAAGAAATGATCAGACTATAATTTTAATGGTAGGTTTATTTTAACAGTGAGAGACAGAATAACAAAAATAAATAAATAAATAAAAAATCCAGAAAAACACATTTCAAAAAAATTATACATTGATTTGCATTTTAATGAGTAAAATAAGTATTTGACCTCTTTGCAAAACATGACTTAGACTTGGTGGCAAAACCCTTGTTGGCAATCACAGAGGTCAGACATTTCTAGTAGTTGACCACCAGGTTTGCCCACATCTCAGGAGGGATTTTGTCCCATTCCTCTTTGCAGATCCTCTCCAGGTCATTAAGGTTTCAAAGTTGATATTTGGCTAGGCCACTCCAGGACCTTAATGTGCTTCTTCTTTAGCCACTCCTTTGTTGCCTTGGCAGTGTGTTTTGGGTCACTGCCATGCTGGAATACCCATCCATGACCTATTTTCAATGCCCTGGCTGAAGGAAGGAGGTTTCTCCCAAGATTTGACGGTACATGGCCCTGTCCACCATCCCTTTGATGAAGTGAGGTTGTCCTGTCTCCTTAGCAGAAAAACACCCCCAAAGCATGTTTCCACCTCCATGTTTGACAGTGGAGATGGTATTCTTGGGGTCATAGACAGCATTCCTTCTCCTCCAAACATGGTGAATTGAGTTGATGCCAAAGAGCTCGATTTTGGTCTCAGCTGACCACAACACTTTCACCCAGTTCTCCTCTGAAACATTCAGATGTTCATTGGAAAACTTCAGGTGCACCTGTACATATGCTTTCTTGAGCAGGGGGACCTTGCAGGTGCTGAAGGATTTCAGTCCTTCATGGCATAGTGTGTTGCCAATTGTTTTCTTGGTGACTATGGTCCCAGCTGCCTTGAGATCATTGACAAGATCCTCCCGTGTAGTTCTGGGCTGATTCCTCACCCTTCTCATGATCGTTGAAACTCCACAAGGTGAGATCTTGCATGGAGCTCCAGACCGAGGGAGATTGACAGTTATTTTGTGTTTCTTCCATTTGCGAATAATCGCACCAACTGTTGTCACCTTTTCACTAAGCTGCTTAGTGATCTTGTAGCCCATTCCAGCCTTATGTAGGTCTATGATCTTGTCCCTGACATCCTTGGACAGCTCTTTGGTCTTGGCCATGGTGGAGAGTTTGAAAACTGACTGATTGCTTCTGTGGACAGATGTCTTTTATACAGGTAACAAGCTGAGATTAGGAGCATACCTTTTAAGAGAGTGCTCCTAATCTCAGCTCATTACCTATATAAAAGACACCTGGGAGCCAGAACTCTTGCTGATTGATAGGGGATCAAATACTTATTTCACTCATTAAAATGCAAATCAATTTATAACTTTTTTGAAATGTGTTTTTCTGGATTATTTTGTTGTTATTCTGTCTCTCACTGTTAAAATAAACCTACCATTAAAATTATAGACTGATCATTTCTTTGTCAGTGGGCAAACGTACAAGATCAGCAGAGCATCAAATATTTTTTCCCCTCACTGTATGTAAAGCTTGAGATTACTAATATAAAATTATCAAATGAGGAACAGAGGCCACAGGATTTTTGACACATAATTACTAATGAATTTATCAGAGCATAGGCTTTCCTTCACTACTTTCTCTCTGCACATGTGTGTGCACTTGAAAGCTTATTTCTGATGGGATTTTGAATTTAATTCTGGTGCTTAAGCTGTGGCACCACTATGCTTCCACTAATAGTGCTTCCACCACTATTCCTGTCAAGCAATCAGCTTTTCTTAATTAATGCAACTGACCCAGACTTATTTTCCTCGATATCTCTCGCCACTGACAGGTATCTATTCATAGTTAGGAAATTGTTTTTTGCGTAGACAAAACCATCGGGACAAAACCGAACACCTGGCGCTACAAGCCGCCCTTCCAGTATCAACATAATGGGGAAGGGGGCTATGTGAATAATCACTCGTGTTCCGTCGGTCATTGTTTTGACACTTAGGGCTAGGAGGCAAAGCAATTATAGGTAGAAAATGCCTTTGCACTCGTTGGATGTTACGTGAAGGGGAAGAACGTGGCGGGACTAAAGTATGCAGGGCTCGGGAGCAGCCGAGCAGGACAACTGGGCACAAGAAAGAGAGGGAGGGAGGGGCAAGCTTCCCCCACTGGCGCCGTCTCCGCCCTGCCCTGCCCGCCTGTAATGGGGACTGTCTGGGGCCAGAAGCGATTAATTCAAGATGGCGTCCGGCACTCTTCCTCAGCCTCCCTTGCCGCCGCCATCTTGTCTCCTCCTCCTAGCAGTCCTCCCTCCGATTCAGGCCTGGTCCCGCTGTCCCCTAAGAATGCTTGGCCCACACTCCTCGTACAACCTACTACAGCCCACCGCCTTTCCCTCTCTGGAAGCTGAGTTACAGCTGCCCGACCCCCCTGCAAGGTTTTCGGCCCGTTCCTGCAAGAAGGAACGCCGCGCGGCCGAGCTGCGGCCTTCTCGGGGCCTGTACCGAAGCAGGCGCCGAGGCCTGGTTCCGCGTAGGGGTAAGGGCCTAGCTCGGGCCTGTCCCATGCTGCTTACCAGGCGGGGCGGTGGCGGTGGGCTCTGGGAGGCCTTTCTCCGCGTAGCTGGGCCGATCTCGGTGGTAGTGTCGCGGCGGCGGCGGCGGCGGCGGGGCGGGCGGGCGGGAGCGAAGGGGAGGGAGGGGCCGAGCTCGGAGCTGAGTGGAAGCGGCCAAGCTCCCCGGGCCGGGCAGCCGTCAGCACGTCACGTCACTGCCCGAGAGAGACCCAGGGAAATGCGGAAGGAGTTGCCGGCGCCGCTGCTGCTTGAGCCGCCTGCTCTTCGGCCCCGGGCCGGGCCGGGCCGGACGCGCGACCGAGAAGGAACCGGGCCGGGCCGGGTGGATGAAGTAGAAGGGCGGTGGGTCCCTGCCAGCCCCTCCCGCTGCAGCTGCCGCTCCTGCCGCCGCCTCCGTTCCAGCTCGGCCGTAAAATTCCGCTCCGGGCTCAAACTTGCTCAACTCGGCGCCGGGGAATGAGGAGTTGTTTAGGCCTGGAAAATCCCCAACATTTTGGGGTGGCTTCTCCACAGGCATTGCCCCGGGCACCCCCGCCTCCCGAATCGTAACACATCCCCCTCGCTCACCGAAAATAAATTTATCCGCAGCCTTTTGAATATGAAAATAAGAGGTACCTTATTACGGCATTTTTAATGAAAGTATTGTCCCGCTGTCTGTTTCTTCCCTCCCCTTTCCCATTTGATCGAGAACAGACATTTTTCTTACATAGGAGGCCAGGAAAATGAAAAGTACAATGCTTTAAGACCGGCTCATATATATCAATCGTTTTGGTAAATGCACTTTTTCTCTTTCTGGTTTTATAGGGAATCAGGTGTACTATTGATGTACAGCTACTTTTCCAAATCAGAATGTGCAATCTTAGCAAATACAAATTTTGCGATTATTAGACATAGGGTGCCAGTGTGTCTTTTAGTTTTTTTGTTGTTGTTGTAAAATGTTTCAAAATGTTAATCTCGTTTCATAGTTGCAAACTTTAAATTTACTGTTCATTTTAACAATCTATAATGACACAATTATTTAAAAGTTATGTAGATGGTTTGTACAGTTCTGTTTTCAGATATCAAAATCAAATTGTGGATACTTGATATGATTGTGGATCAAATTAAGGCTCATTTCCTTCGGAGACCTAAGGTGCAGATCACATATGCATTGTATCTCATTTAATTGTTTGTTAAAGAATTTAACAGCAGAACACAATTTTTGTGTCTTCGCTTTATGTTAATAAATGCTCAAAATATATTTTCTATTAAGTTTAGATAGCATTTTTAAAGTTAAAAAAGTAAATCTCAAGTTGCAAATTCTCAGGTACAGTACATAGTCAAACTAGCTGTGGAATTCTGGGAACTGAAATCCATCCTCTGGAAGGGGATGACAAGGTTAGAGAAGACTTCTTTTATTCTTATAGTTTATGCAGTGTATCTTCAATTATTAGCAATAAAATATATTACCACATTTAGTAAATTGTTATGTATCTTGTTTCCCTAATATTATTTTAATTGGATGGTTTACTGTTATTTTAATAACATTTGGTTTAATAAAACGTAACATTTAGGGGGATAGAAGAACAGCATTAAAAGTTGAAGTAGTCAGGAGCAACTATCTACCCTCATAAAGAACACTTTATATATCATAGTTTATGGAATTCAGTGTCACATGATGTAAAGATGGGCGTTCAGTTTAGAATTAAAAATAGGATTAAACATGTGGGGAGATAAAGACTGCTTTGGTTTTTCATCAAGTGTCTGCATGAAATCCATTTTAAAACTTGAGGCTTTCAAGAAGCATCTAATTGCAAACAAAATTCTGACTTGGGATCTTTTGGTCTGATCAGTAAACCTTAGTAAACAAATAAAATGTGCTGGTTTTCACAGTTTTTATGATACACTAATGTACAAAAATATAAAACTATAAAAGGATCAATACAATCACAAAAATGATAAGCATAGAAGAAATAAGGCTTGGAAATTACATTATGAACAGTATAGATTTATTTCCATATTGTGCCTTTCTTAGCCAATTTTCATGGCTGAAAAGTCTGCAATTCTTGTATGTAAGCTATGAAGAACAGCAGTTATATTAACGGTCCTGTTGATATTGGTTCAAATGCAACTATAATAGGATAATACCACTATATCAGTTAATGTTAAGCTCCCAAGGTATATCTTCAATTGCAAGGTGATTACAATCCTTACTTGGACTACAGATAATAGGAAGTTTTGTATATTATCCTAAGCTATGGTTTGTTTGAATAAAACTTAATTTGTTGAATTAAGACGAACATATTACATATGGTAATGTGATACTAAGCCAAACCTTTTTTGTTAAACCATTTTCTCTGTTTGTTAATTAACCAACAAACAATAGTCAACATCTGTGTTCTTTGGCATAGTCTCCAAGCCTAGAAAAATGTGTTTCTGGAAAATCAAGATATTTTGAATTTAGAATTTTTATGATGGAATGAGTAATACAGTATTTAAGACAATGTAAACACTTGTTTCCAAGGGATCTCTAGAAGCAATGCAACAGGAGGGCCAATCCTAGGTTAAGGCTGTATTTTTGTCCCCCAGAAATTTTGTTTTCATGGCAAAAATTCCTTGAAGTCCTATACTAATCCCAGTAAAATACATACTAGGTGTGTTTTGTAGTTAAATAGATTGATAAACTATCTGAGAAAAATATTAAGTATTTTTGTAGACCAAAACCTTAAAGGAGACAGGATAAACCTATCAGAACAGAATCTGACTTATTTCAAACTATAGAACAGGAGAAAATCTAATATATGCAAATTTCAAGGATAGAAAATAGCAAACTATTTTTAAACCATTCACACAAACAGTGCTTTAAAAAAAAAAAAAGTGCCGGAACTAACACACATCATACAACCTGCCTTGCCTACCCTACAAGGTTCCATCCCAAAAAAATGCTGGAACTCCATTCTGGGCGTTCTATGAGGAAAAAAGCCCTGCACACAAATACTTGCAGAGTGTAGCAGCTGCATTATTCATACAAAAAATAAAAATGAAAGCAAACAATTCCATATTCTGGTTGAAAAAGTTTTAATATTAAATCGAAGGTATTTCAGATTGCCCTTCAGGGGCCATTACTCGGGATACTTCACATAAAGCTTACCAATAATGGAATTAGGTTCAGAGGAAATGAGTAACTTCAAATAATCTTGCAAACATATCACAAAAAAATTATAACAGTATTCCAGAATCAAGTTGCAATAATCCATTACCTAAAATACGTTGTACTGAATAATTTACTTTTATTACATAATGTATTTGTTCATGGTTTTTTATAGCCTGCCCCAGTTAGAGGAATAATATTAAACAATACAAAATTGTAAATACCTCCATCAAGATAAACGCCTCCAACAATCAAGTAGAATAAAAAATAAATAAATTAGGAGAATTAAGCTGTTTTGGCAGCTTTTGGGAATCCACAAGGAAGGGACCAAACAGAGTAAAGATCAAAACAGAAAAGGCTCGTCATCTGGTCCACTATTCTATATAAAGAAAAATTCAAATTTTGGATTTTATAAAAACCCATAAATGAAATTTAGTTCAAAAATGGTTTCCATATTGACTTAAATTCTGTGTAAATTTTATTATTCATATGCAAAGTTATTTGAGACATTATAATCCCACAACATGATTTGCCATTATTTTATTGAGGGAATTATATGTATTTAACATGATGTTTAACAGAAAAGAAGTTCAACTTTTAGAACTTAGGTTGTAAATCATTTTTCAAAATTGTTGGACTTTACAGTAGTACCATTAAGTATGGAATAATGATCCAACTTGATTGTTACATAACCAATACTTTTTAGAAAATTAGCTGTCAGTTTAGGAACCAATACTGGAGTAATATTAGTAAAACGTACCATTTTAAAGTACAACATTCACTGTATATCTATTTTTTCCATTGAATTTCCATTGCTGCATATCAATTGTGTCTAAATACTGCATCCATTTGGTCATGATATTGTTGATTTGCTCAATTTCTGAGATCTTATCAACTAGAAGGAAAACTACTGGACATTTTTGGATCCACTTGAAAAAGTCCACCATCTATATTGAAGTCAAAGGCAGCTTAGAAGTGCAGTTTGATGAGAAAATTATTTAATTAGTATCTTTCATTTCTAGATCACAATTCATCTGAAATGAAATAAAAACCAGATCTATATCCTCCCCGGTGTGTAAGACTCAGATTACCTGAAAAGGACCATAGTTGCCATGGAGGTCATGAATTCACAAGTTTCATCAGACTTTCCTCCCAGGATACTTTCTGAGTTCCAACCCCAGGCCTGAAATGACAATCAGGAGCTTGTAAAGCAGGGATCTTCAAACAGTTTGAAGACTCCTGTTGTAAAGAGTCACTGCCATGCAGCTAAATACTTAGTATTACAGCAATAACACCAGTTTAACAGCCCAATTGGAAGGACTCCCAACTGGTTACTTCTAAGTCAGTGCTTACAACCACTGTTTTTCCTTAGCCAAACTGGTATGGCTGATACAGGACTCAAAACCACTGTGGGCAAATTACTGACAAGGTTATATTCCTACTGTTGTCCAACTTGCTTTCAATAATACATGCTAAATTTTTGTGCTTATTCATCCCATACCAAAGATGGATATGATTTGAAAATTTGCAGAGATGAATATATGCTGAAAGGTTATGCAGATGATGTGGTAGTAACGGTCATAGGACACCAAAAGGCAATAAAAGAATTAAGGAAAATAAGATTTTTTTAATCTGTTGCAAGAAAAATGTGGTTGTCAAAATAGCTGACTCCATGAAATGCCAGGTTTTGTACCTGACAGGTAACAATCAAGGATACTATTTAAATTATGACAAGAGAAGAGACACTGAAAAGTGGAGGAGCTTAAAGTTACCTTAATTAGGATCAATTGCAATAACCAAAATGAATGTATCACCCCAGCTAAACTATTTCAGTTGAGGCCAAATCAAGAATTTCAGAGAGAAAATATTTTCTTCAATAAATAAATGAATAAATTGAGTCATTTGTTTAATTGGGTTATCTCTATCTAGTTGTAGGACTTGTAACTTTTAAGCACCATTACACAAATTGCCACCTA